AAAAAAAAAAAAAAAAAAAAAAAAATCCTCCTAATCGGGGTGTGAGATGGGTATTTCCATTTTATGGATGTTGAAATTGAGGCAGAGAAGAAATTAAACTAGAATGCAAGGATCTAATAAGTGATCTCTGCCTATGTGGGGTAAGAAGAGTGGGGCTTAGGACTTGAAAGCCTAAATGAAATCCAAAAGCCAATCTAAGAGATTTGATGAATGGTTTAGAAGGATTTTTGGTAGACAAGATCCAGGGCTTGAAGTACTCACAGGCCATGCGTTTGGTCTTTGCAGGTCTTGGGATACATGTTCTCAAGGTACCTTAAGTGGTTGGGGGGTGGGTTTCTAGTCTCAGTGGGTTCTTGACAAACATGTGCATTAGCTGAATGCTGAAGACAAACCAAAGTGGGAGACCAAAAAGCACTTTCCGGGGTGGGGGGGTTGACCTCAAATCTGGAAATTTATTAGGGACTATGGCACTACAGAAAACCGTGGGCTCTTTTCCTTAGAGCAGATAACAAAAGACAGGGACTCCCTGGGCTGGATGATCACAAAGCACATTGTAAACACAGCAGAGCAGAACAGGTTGACAAGCTGTTATACAACAGGCCTACAAGGCCATTTTTAGTCTTTATTGATTCCACTTAGGGAGTCATTTTGTTGCAGGAATATTACTATGGATCTTACCTCAGCTGACATTGGGGTAAGAGGTACATTGTCATCCTGAGAGGCAGGGAGCAGAGGACCCCCTCCAATCCCCCGACCTATGAGGCATTCATGGCAGTCCTCCTGCCAACTCCCACTGTCTTAGCTTCCCAAAGGCCCAGAATAGGATGCCTCCTCAGACCAAGTACCCACCTAGTGGGGTTAGCCACAATGCCCCATAACCTGGGCCTGGCTCAGTGGGTGAAGTCGAAGTTCCCAAGTCTCCATTCACCTGCCAAAGCAGATTCATGACTGTTTGGGTTAGAGCAAGGGATATTGAGGCCTGTCACAACTAGCTGGGAGACTCAGGAAGCAGGCCTCCAGGACTGGAACTCATAACACAGGGCTCCATGACGCATGAGGGTGGAACAGGCAGCTAAGGACAATAATGTCCTGGAGTTTACAACTTGGTGGTAACTTGTCTCAATATTAACCAGGTGAAAGCCATGAACACGAGATTTCCATCTTCCAAATCAGAACCAATGGAGGGATAATACCCATGGGACCCCAGTATAGCCACTAGAAAGAACCGTGACTAAAGGAAGAGCCGAGGAACTAAAAGACCAGCTGGAGTTACAAAATCACCACCACCTTACCCCTCAAGACACACACACACCAAGATCAAATCCCCATGACTGAGAGTTTTGCCAACTCTTCTCAGTGGCTTTATATACCGATTAACCTAACCCCCCACAGAAAATGTAAAATGGCATGAGGCTGAAGTTAAATGACTCACCCAAGGTCAAACAGCTGGGAAGTATTACAGCCCCAACATAAATCTTGGCATCTGATCTCTTAGCATTGTTCTCAAACCAGGCCTCTCTTGTGGCCCTCATACACAAAGATGAGTTCAGTGCACCTGTCCCCAAGCCCCATCATTTCAGGGGAAGGAATGAACTGGTACCACTATCTATGATAGGATTTAGCTCACGCCATGAGATTAGGTGCTTACATTCTCAGAACAATCCTGTGAGGGTGCCCATCTAATGCTTAGAGAAGCTAGGGAGATTCAGGCCCAAACAATGATTAGAATGGGACTAAGACACCAGCTTAGGAAACCCAATTCTAGCCAAGAAGCTAGGGAGATTC